AGCACGAATTGACTCAGAGGCCATGAGGGCGAAAGGAATAATTGTTTTAGTAAAATCCAACTAGTTGGTCAAAAATATCGAGAAAAAACAACTTAAGTAGTTAAAGCTAGACTTTAATCATTTTTTTCCCGCCAAATTGCGGGCGCTTTTCCCTAGCCTAGTAGTAGCTCAACCAATCACTGTTATAAGTCCTGAACCTCCTATATTTACACGACCAGGGAGACAATTTATGAGTCTCGGTGCTTACGGAATTTTTTCAACGCTTGGTCTAAAATTCGAAATTTCTTTCGAGTCTGTTTTTCTTTGAAAAAGGCCGAAATAGTTATTTTTATGATGTTGTTTAAAGAAAAGGAAACTTTTTAAACTATAAAAATGTCATTTTCACGTAGTCGAAAAATTTGTGTAATGTGATGTTGTATAAAAACAAGGCTATTTAATTTAGACTTTAAAAATGTTATTTTCACATAGTCGGAATATTTCCATTTTTCCAAAGGGCTTAACCCTTGATTTTGGGCAAAAATTTAAAGTTTCTTTCGTGTCTGCTTTCCTTTGAAAAAGGCTTAGATATGTATTTTCATAATTTTTTTTTATAAAAAAGAAGGCTTCTAAAGTATAAAAATGCCTTTTTCAAAATTTGCATTTTTAGCTATTTTTCAATTTTCCAAAGGGTTAACCCATGATTTTGGTCAAAAATTCAAAACTTCTTTTGAGTTTGCTTTTCTTTTAAAAATGCCTTGACATGTATGTATTTTATGATGTTGTAGAAAAAAGCGGGCTTTTTAAACTTTCAGATAGTCAAAAATGTGCATTTGCCCCATGATTTTGGTCAAAAATTCGAATTTCTTTCGAATCTGCTCTTCTTTGAAAAAGACCTAGATATGTATTTTTATGATTTTGTTTATAAAAAAAAGGCTTTCTAGACTATAACGTGATTGTGTGACGAACGCCTAAGAACGTCTGCGTTGGAGGGTTACCAAAATCCGCCATTTTAAGGGAGATTTGCGCATGACTTTTCAAAGGAATCCGCTAATGCAATTAAATTAAAGTACCTCATATTCATGAATCATTTGATAACAAAAGGGGAGGAATGATTGCGTGACGAACACCTAAGAACGTGGGAGGCTACAGGTAGAAAGGTTATCAGAATTAATAATGAAATGATCCCTAAAGAGAAAATATGCTTCGATCTTTTAACAAATTCTCTCAACCAATTTTTTAAGAAATGTATGGAGGCCTGTCTGGAGAATTTGTATGTTGATCGAGGTGCTTAAAGGGTTATAAAGACATGAGAAGCAAACTCTCACCTTCCTCCATGATCCAGACGTAGTTAATCGATAAAATCGATATCGGAAATCACTCGATATCATCGATACTGATCGATTTAATCCACCGATTAATATCGATTGATATCGGAAATCGATAGAAATCGAATTCAGAAAAAATGATTTACCGATTATTATCGATTAACAAAATCGATGAAAAAACGTTATCGATTTTTATCGGAAAATCATCGATATTAATCGAAGTCACACCTTTTTTTCTTTTTCGATTTCCATCTATTGATATCGGAAATCAATATCAATCATCGATTAATATCAATTACTATCGATACGTCTGGCATGCTGTCCTCCCCACTCGGGAACAGAAGATTAAATTGTCCAAGTGCCCAACTACCCCTCGCAGAAATTAGACGATCAGATGATAAGGTTTTCCAGGATTTCGTAGTTGGAATATGCAAAGGACACCAGAATTCACATCTCCTCAGAGGCGAAGCTTTCACAACTCAGTAGGGACGTGATTGGTCCTATGCTTATGAGTTTTCCACCTAAGATCTGGTAACTAGAGGGGCTTTGTCTCGCTGTTTGCTATCTCTTTAAAAAGCTTAAACCTGTCTTTGTATCACTAGAATTCCAAAAACAAGGGTACACATTTGTTATAAGGCTATATTTAGGTAATGAAACTGTTTTCTGTTGACTATGGATGGCAAGGATGGACATGGACTTGACAAAGTTGAGCCAACATTTTCAAGTTAATTTTAACTTATGGTGTCCCTATGGTATGCCTTCAAAAATCACCAAACAAAATTTTGTAGTTAGTGCTCCCTGATGAAATTTGTTTGATATATTACGTCTTAACTCTACAGGGGCATTTTGTGTTTGGGTAAAGGGTTCATTATACGTTTCCGGGAAACTGCCCACCTACCCCTCCTCTAAGCCAACATTTTGCCTTAAGTGAGAAGTAAGTGTTAATGCTGGATTAGGGGAGGGGTAGGTGGACAGTTTCCAAGAAACGTTAAATGAAAAAGAACATGACACCCTAAAAACTCTTTTAGACAAGAGTAGCTGATAAGCTAGTAAAACAACAAAAGGATAGTGTTACAGTTTTATTTGCACTGTCGCTTTATTTTTATAAAATATATTTTCCCGTTACTCTTTCCTATTTCATATAAAAGGCAATGCTAATTTGTTTAAATTACAGAATGACGTGTTCAGTTTAAGATCAAAATTCACTTCGTTCAAATGAAAACAAGAAGAAAAAGAAATCTAATCTAGTTCTATTGCTACCTTTGATTTAATCATGTGTTAATTTTCAAACACTCTAAAAGAAAATGAGCTAGACAACGCGCTTCGATGAAAAGAAACTAAATCAACGTCTTCTTGTGAAGTAGAATTCATGCATGGCAGAACCGGTCGGGGAACCACTAGCAAGTACTGTAAGAGTTTCCGAATCTTCCGAATCTTATTAACTGATCAGAAGAGGAATTATGCAATTTGTTAGACAAGTAGATATCAGAAAAAAGAGATTGTTCCTCGCCAGGATCAAACTCCTTAATAGCAAAACATAGCAGCCACAAGATAATTGCTGAGTGTGGTTGGGTGCTTGTGATGCCAGATGCCTTGCCTTTTTGCTACGGTGTCAACCTAGGTGTTGAACGTGAACAGCCCACCACCAAACCTTACAAAATCCAGAAGAGCGGCCAACATGCATTCTCATTCAGTTATCATACTGACTGTTTCTCTACAATTGTTGTGATCATCAATCCTCAAGTGCTTCCTAGATGTCTGCAACTCTAGGATACACAACTTATACACTAAGTCAGTGCTCAAATTGACTGTTCTTTTGCTCCTGTTGTGATTGTGGTCAACACAAGTTCCTTGAGCTGTTTAGCGTTTCTTGATGTTCTAAATAAAAAAAGAAACCTTTTTAGACCACAAAATTGGAACTTTTCAAAAGGCCAAAACTCGCAATTTTCAAAAGGGGTTAACCCGTGACTTGTGTCGAAAATTTTAAAATTTTTCTTTGTTCGTTTTTCGATTAAAAAAAGCCTGAAAATGGAGTTTCTTATGTTCTAAATAAAAAAGAAACCTTTTAGACCACAAAAATTAGAACTTTTCATAAGGCCAAAAATTACAATTTTCCAAAGGGGTTAACCTACGATTTAGGTCCAACAATCCAAGCAAAAATTTAATTTTTTGTCAAAATAAGCTAACAAGTGAGTTCCTTGGTCTTCTAAACAAAAAAAAAACCTTTTTAGACCACAAAAATGGGAACCTCTCATAAGGCCAAAAATCCCAATTGTCCAAAAGGGTTAACCCACGATTTTGGTCAAAAAATTCAAATTTTTTCTTTATTTGTTTTCGCCAAAACAAGCTTAAACATAGAGTTTCTTGATGTTCAGAAATAAAAAGGAAATTTTTATAGACCACTAAAATGGAAGATTTTTATAAGGCCAAAATTCGCAATTTTCCAAAGGGGTTAATCCACGATTTTAATCCAAAAATTCAAAATTTTTCTTTATTTGTTTTTCCCCAAAATAATCTTAAAAATAGAGTTTCTTCATGTTCTAAATGAAAAGGAAACATTTTTAGACTACAAAAATGCTCACTTTTCAAATGGCCAAAATTGCAATTCTCCAAAGGGGTTAACCCACGATTTTGGTCAAAAAAATTCCAAAACATTTTTATTTGCTTTTTCTCAAAATATCCTTAAAAATAGAGTTTCTTTATGCTCTAAACAAAAAAAAAATCATTTTTTGACTCTAACAATAGTGGGATCTTTTCATAACGTCAAAAACCGCAATTTTCAAAAGGTTTTAGCCCACGACTTTCAAAATTTTTCGTTGTTTATTTTTTGATTAAAAAAAGCTTGAAAATAGAGTTTCTTGATGTTATAAATGAAAAGGAAACCTTTTTAGACCACAAAAATGGGACGTTTTCATAAGGCCAAAAATCGGAATTTTCTAAAGGGGCTAACCCGTGATTTTGGTTAAAGAAATTAAAAAAAATTATTTGTTTTTGCCAAAATAAGCTTAAAAATATAGTTTCTGATGATCTGGAGTATTAAAATGGAAACTTTTCATGAGGCCAAACTGAATCACAATTTTTCAAAGGGGTTCTAGATAAAAAAGAAAATATTTAAACTTTGTTCGACAATTAAAAAATGGGAACCTGTCATAAGGCCAAAAATCCCAATTTTCGAACTCGGTTAACCCACGATTTTGGTCAGAAATTTCCAAATTTTTTTAAAGTTAATTTAGGATGGCGACTTTCTAAAATCGATATTTTTATTGTCTAAAAAGCTTCTTATTAAAGTGGAACATTGCCAAACGTTTGTTAGGGCTATCTTACCCAAAAACAGAAGAGCAAGAAATTTTAAATTCTTGCCGAAATCATAACTTATTTTAAAACCCCTTTAAAAGGATCCAATGTGACCATTCGATATTTTTATAGTCTGACCAGGCTTGTTTTCGATTTTATTTAAAACATAAACCACTTTATTTCTAGACTTTCTAGGCCTTTTATCACGTAGCTCAAATACAAGAAGTAAAAAAAAGGATTTCAGCGTTTTTTTCGCTGACAGACTTCAGACCGGAACCTCAGATTTTTAAAAAACTTCGTGGCAAGTATGTTTTGCTTCCACTCGTACTGTAATAAATGCTTTGCGGTCGTAGGACGAACACATATTTTTCTTACACGAAGTACATAGTGAGGTTTACCAACATGGCGGCCTCAAAGCTCGAAATCAATTTCCGCCGTCTTTTGGAACGCTGCGAAGCGATGGCCTCAGAAATCCAGGAGAATAAAGAAAACGTTAGCTGGAAGTTGGAAAAAGTGAGTTATAGCATTCATCAAAAAATTGTTTTCTACTGTTACCTCTCTAGGATTTGAACAAACTGTCGACCCCAGCTGCCTGGTCGGGTTTGTAACAATTTTTCACCGTTTTTCTACTCCATATTGCAGTATGTTTTAACGTTACAGAGGCAAGCTGCCGAACTAAAAAAGTCAGGAAGGTTAGTTTTTAAATGCAAAGTAATAAGATAAAATTTAAACGAGCAATACGTCAATGTAAAATAGTGCTTTTAAGTAATAAGCTTAAAACAGCTGATACAGGTAGTCTTTACTCTGACGGGTCTTAATGTCGGGTCGATTGTATTTATTATTAATATTTTAGTCATCACAACAGAGCTTTTTTATTAGTATCTGACCCAGTTAAATAAAGGAGGAGAAAGTTTTTTCATATTAAAGGAAAGAGTTCAACGTCTTGGTATACCGACAATGGACGTAGCTAGTTCATTGTTTAATTTTCGTACCCCAATATGGCGGACTGAAGTATACCTGTATCGTACAAACGCGCAATAATGACAATCTAATTAATTGATATCAACTAATCTGGCAACAGAAACCAGACCCATATGCACATTTCTCCTGTTACCGTATGTGTGTAGTAACTGTTAAACTTTTATCAAATAAAAGTGAACGTCTCTTTTACAGTGCAGTAAGTAAACTCATCCATAACCTGGATTAGACAGGACTCCAGGCTTAAACATAACTTTTCTTGACTTTGTCGGCTTCAGTTTGGCGTAAAAACAAGGTGGGGGCCCGCACCCCTTGGCACCTTTTCCTAGATCCTGCGACCAAACTGTCAGTGAAGGAAGAAACTCACTGGTGTCAGCAGACATTCACTTTTTTTTATTACATTTACTATTTATGTGATAGAAACCACTCTTAAGTGGACATTCATAGTTGACTGATCTCTGAGGTTCATTCGTCTATCAGTAGCGTAAAGGTAGACATCTCCCGTTGGTAGAAGGCATTGGTTGGCTGGCCTGAGCTAAATTTATGTTGTCTGTCAGTATTCAACATTTTGAAAGGCAGATGACATGTGTCTCTAACGTACTGTAGGCACCAGTGGTCAGGGATGTAGATAATAGCCGGGAACCAGGAAAAATACCCGGGTGTCAGCATAATTTTTCCAGCTGAAAAAAATGCGGTGTTTAAAAAGGCAACTGTTTTCTTCTCATGTTATCTGCCCATCAAATGCCATTTCCCATCTGTTATAAATTTAAGCTACATCCCTTGTGGTTGTTGGCTGGTAACAGCTTCCAAGTTTCACTTTTTTGTCACTGTGTAACTAAAACTTTCTTCAATTCAAAGCAAACATTCTTATGGTGAAAAAAACTCTAATGAAGATTCCGGAGGTTAACTGATTTTTCACCTCACCAATAAGTATAGCCAGCATTTTAGGTTATGCCTCTTATGATTAAAGAAGTGTACCTTTTCAAAAACTGGGAAATCAAAATATTTTGGTTCCATCAGCTTGTCGAGTCATGTGTAAAATACAGTTTTTGAAATGATAAAAATGTTGAATTTTAATTTTTTTTCTCCCATTTACTTGAAGTAATCAAAATATTAAATATGTTTTATCTTGTAACAGCAAACCAAGTCCAGACACAATGACTGAATACAACAAGAAAGTAGAGTTCCTTAAAGGTTTAATAGAAACACAGAAAATGGTGAGACAGGGATCAATGTTTTGAAATCTTAAGATGCGCATCTGTTGTTGCATTCAAATGGGAAAAATTATTGTTTAGGAATAGCTAAGAAATGCTTGTCATCAGAGAATATACAAGTACAATAAATTGTATATCGTTTGTATGTTAACTATTTACTGCTGGTTGAATGTAAGTGTTGACACGAGATAAAAAAACATGTTCTAATAGGGTGCCTGACTTGCCGTTAAAGCAAACTGTCACACCAAAGGTAAGTTGTTTGTATGTTTTCGATTGGCATGGTCTGCTCACATTCCATTTACGTTTACACATGACCTTCCATACATTGTCTCTGTTTTATTTACGTGAGTAAAACTTATATGCATATGCACATGAAAATTATGGGACAGTGGAAATCCACCATCAGTCATAAGGGGAAAATCCAGGCACCCTTCAATTTCTACTGGCTCTGACAATATCATGATAATTTAGGTTTGTTGGAAGCTCTCAAATTCTCCTTTCCAAGGGTTTGTTCCCTTTAAATTTCAATTGCAGTTGAATACAAGTGTAGATCCATGTAAAATAAGACTTACCTTCACTTTGTTTTGTAGAAATCACCAACAGAAAAACTTCTCGCCAGTCGGCAGTTAGTGCGTCCACTGAGTCAAACATCCAATGCGCAGACCACAGAGGTGGACAAAGGACGAACAGTAAACAGAGCACAAGAACTTCACATCAGGGCAAAGTCACAGATTAATAAAGAGATGAGAAGTGAACTTCTGGGAGAAGGTGAGAACAATGCAGCTTAATTTCACTTCTGATATAATGCACTTGTAAGTTAGTTTATTTGATATTTTTGTTATTTTTGTAAGGATCATGCACAGTACTGGCTTACAATCCTCGACACATTACAAAGGTTTTCTTAGCCCAATATTTTCACAAAACTAAGGACTTTCAGGGCACCTTACCACGGCACATTCATTTTGGCTTGTTTTTGGGCATTTGAGACATGAAATACTTTGGTTTTTAAAAGTAAATTGAATAATAAATTTAATTAATTTATTAGTGTTAAAAGTTAACAAGGAACCTTGCTTATTTTCCAGACAATAAGAAAGACAGTCATGGAGTGCGAAACAGGTGACTGATTATAATTATTTTACTTGCATATTACTAGTTTGGTCGACCCTCAGTCGCTGAACAAAATATAACTGTTTATTTTAAAATCCCCCATAATCACTCTGTTTGCTCCCAATGCAACACTTGGCATAAACTATAGTCTTCAAATGCTCCTGGGAGAACTGTGTAATTCCAAGGGCTTTTGCGAACAAAAACTTTATTTATAGCAAAGCCTCAATCGGTGATAAAATTGTTGAGACATTGTACTCAAATAGGGTAACTTCAGAGAACAAAAGAATGCACACCCTTCCCCCTTACACAATTCAAAGTTGGGGTGTTTGTTGTTTTCTGTACGTAGCTTGAACAGCAGCACAACATTGCATGGAGGGGATGGGGGAGGAAAAGCTTTATTTTCATCTTTTGAAGTCAGTAAAACCTCAGAAAGCTGATTTTGTCACCAATTGTAGAGAGGCAAACAGGGTGTATTATGTGGAAACTCCAAAAATAAAAGTCAGTGGAAAAAAAATCCCTGATAGCAAGTCAGTATGACTTTGTAAGTATGTACTGGTGTCAACTTAATATTTTCTGCATCATGAATTGTTGGTTAGTGTTGAACAATCTGCCTTTTATAGCCTGTGTTCCAGCTCCTTCCCACACATTGTCTAAACCCTCAGAGTGTGTTCCATTTGAATGATCCAAATAAGGATCAGTGACTTGTGATCACTCAGAATATAGCACATCAAAGGACTCAATGAATCAACCCTGGGAAAGGATTCATCAGTTCACTTGATGTGCTATTGCCTAGTTTCAAATTGAGAGGTGCTGGATATGAGTCGGTTTATCATGGGCTAAACAACATGAGAACTATATAGTCAGAAAGAGCAAAATACCAACATTCTCAAGTTTGGTGTTTATTGGGCCTATATTGAATGATATAAATAGATGTACGGACGATGTGACCGGCAATCCATACATGTACATCTCTTATAAAAGTGATTTTCAAGTTTACCGATAGCTGTATCTTGTTCGATATTGGCGCGATCGACACCAAACTTCACATATTTTATAAACTGACTCATACCCAGCCCCTCTCCATTTGAAACTAGGCAATGGCTGAGTGATCTATGACCTGGATCATCCCAAAGGAACTCACCCTTAGTCTATACAGGCAGTGCATGTAGCGTCTGCCATGCAGGCTACTTGTTTTTGACAATCTTTTTTCTTGAAGATTAACAGGCAACAAGAAAAGTGATGCAAATGATGAAAGCATTGACTCAGTTCTACAATACCATCAGAACTTACAAGAAAATATAGCAGAGGAAATGATAAAAATGGCTCAGCATATAAAACATACATCTGTCATGGCCAGAAACATTATTAAAGAAGATAACAAGGTTACGTTTCATAACAGTAAATAACAAATTATTGGATGAGGTCTTTTCCGAACATCTGAAACAGACTAGGTCAAGTAAATGTTATTGGCTGAAGCTGATAACTCTTACTGAGACTTTGATTATTGCAAATACCATATTTCCTTGAATAATAGCCGTCCCTGAATTAATCGCCTCCCTTGAAAAATCGCCCCCTTTGACGGAAGTGTTTAAAATAATCACCTCCCCCACCTCTGTGGGTTACTCACTAGGGACAGCCATTGTGGAACTTGGAGGGTGGAGCTAAAGTGGAGTCTGATTCAGCAAAACTGATCAGTGATGACTCAAGCACTGATGCCACAGAAATTGACAGCAACATTAATCAAGGAACCAAATTTGGAACACTTTAAATGCCAATGTTCTTTTATCTGATGTGATTATTATTTTTTTATTTAATGGGAAAATAGAACAAATATTAATAGGGCACGACTTCTAGTCAGCAATATTTGAAATAGTCGCCTCCCTCGAATAATCGCCCCCTTTTTGTGCGAAAAAAGAAATAATCGCCCCCAGCTATTATTCAAGGAAATACGATATCCCAAAAACCAAATCCAATAAGAATTGTTTTATTATACATGGTTGTCCTTGAATACCAAGCTTGGTGCACACAATTTGAAGGCTGTCATAAATATGATCAGCTACCAAGGTGACCCCTGGCCTACTGTATAAATTTAATAGAATAAAAATAGAACCAAGTGAAATGTGTACCTGTTTGATTCCCTGTCTGCTTGTTTCCTGCAACTTGAAATCTTAGTGACAGCCATAAATTATAAATTTGTATCACTAAGTTTCTTTACTATTGTAGAGACGAATTACCCAAATTTTGGGCAAAACCACTGCCAAGAATGTGAAATACGAGCAGTATTCAAAACAAAGGTTGTTAATGTGGACTTAAGTAAAGGCTTTAAACCGGCTCATATAAAGGATAATGCCTGACCCCTAAGGCCTTGTTAAAAATAATGACCGAGCGCCTGAGGTCATTATATTTAACAAGGCCTTGGGCCAAGGGCTATTATTTAATGTACTTTTCCACTGTTTTAGAACCAGCAAGTCATAAATAAGGATCTCCTGTTCTACCTCAGTGACCTGGGCTTTAATTTATTAAAAATAATAACTAATGTTCAAAACAAATAGATATGTGCGTTAATAACAAGGAAGGCGTATTTACAAATTGGTCATTTTAGGAAGGCTCCATGTACAGACAACAGAGATAAACTTTGAAAAACTTACTGTTTAATTTTGTGTTCTGTTTTTTAGACCTTGGAGCAGTCAACAAAGCTTGCAGATTCAAATTTTGAGAAACTTCAACGAGAATCAGAAAGACTTGAGGAATTAACACAGACACCATGTTCCTGGTGGATCTGGATTATGATAATTACAGTTTGTATTGTGTTTATGTGGATGATTATATTTATTAGACTTTTTCCAAAGAAGTGATATAGTGATAACCTTAAAGCACAACTCTTCAAACAAAAAAGGTTACAAGAATTACAATTTGACAATAATTTTCAATAAAAGAATATCATTGTAAAGAAGACTGTTTCAGCTAGCCTGAAATTCATCCGATTGCTTCGAGTCGTTTTCTCCTCTCAACAACTGGGATGTTTCAGCTTACTGTGTTTAATTTATCAAGAACTGAAATTCTTCTGGGCCCAGATATTTTTAAGGTGGATAACGCTATCCATTGGTTAAATCTCTTGTTACCAGATAGCACAATTGGTTTTCCCAATACTTAACCGTTAACCGCTGGACAGTGATTTATCTGTTGGATAGCACTTTCCAACATATTTTGAACAACCAGGGATAGGGAACCACTTAATCTAAGTGTCGATGCATTTAGCATGAAAGTACTAACAGAGGACACTATTTTTATATCTCCCTCTGGAGACAAGACTACACTGCCATTTTACGTGGTCATCTGAGCCACACAAAGGTCTAGCCATTTGAAGGGCAAAGGTGGTTCCTTCAATTCTCAGTTATTTTTAATCCCTGGGTATTAGTCAGTGACAGTGGACCTGGGAATCAAACCCTGCAATCAAGCGCTCTAGCAACCAAGGGCACTTTCAAAAAGTCAGAACTGGCCGGCTGGACCATGATCAGACCAGTCAGTTTGAAAATGAAATCAGCTTTTTCAAAGAGTTTTTGCTAAAAAACCATCTCCTTGATGCAATATACTACATGTATTTAGGATTTGACTCATGATCTACTATATTTCTGCTGCCTTCACAGTGTTATTCACTCAGGTAAATGCACGTCAATAAATTTTACAATTTATTTACACTGTAACTATATCTTGTCCACTGAAAGTATTAAATAAAGTACCCAGCCAATTCACATTACAGTTTCAAAAAGAGAATGCAACTTGCAAGTCTCATTTCTAATTTTAACACGTGTCCTTATTTGCTATGGAACTGAAGTTAGGAAAAGAATTTACTTGTAGATTACAAATCATAGCTTTGTGCCAAACAAATATAGACGTCTCCCAAGCAACAACAATTTACAACAAAAATAAACTTTATGGTTGCTTGTCTTCTCCCCTCGCATTACCTTTTCATTTCCTACCTTATCTGAGCATGCACTCGTGTGCTACACTCGCTCTATGTTTTCCTGAGGTGAAGTCAGTACATATAATAATTTATTAATAATAATTTAATAATAATTTATTACTTATTCGGCGCAAATATCTATATGAATATATTCAAATGCGCCTTACAAGTTACATTAAAATAATAATAAAATAATAAATCTAATATAGTAAAACTATCCAGTCCATATCTAATAGATAAACTAAAAATTACACAGAGTCAAAAATGTAAAATTCTAAAAAAAATAACAAGCATACGCTTTCCTAAAAAGATGAGTTTTCACTAAGGACTTAAAAACGTCCATTGTCTTAGCAGTTCTAATGTCATTTGGGAGACCGTTCCACAGTCCCGGAGACGCAACTTGAAATGCTCTGTCTCCCAATGTCTTTTTTTAGATGAGACATATATAGTAATATTATTGCAATTAACAATGTTCTTAGCCTGAATTTCATCCGATTACTTTGAGTCGTTATTACTCCCTCAGTAACTAAGGGAGTAATAATGACTCGAAGTAATCGGATGAAATTTAGGCTACAATATTCTAAGGGTTGCTAAATATTGAATTCTCTTAAGGGAGTTGTATCTATGTACAGAAACGGAATTAGATAAAGTTGCAGTGTAATAACATCATTCAAGATAAGCTGTTAAACTTACATGATGTTCACCTGAAAAACAAGGGTCTCATGTGTAAATACTAAGTTAAATCACACGAAAATAGATCCTACAAAAGATTAACCACAAATTTCACTTGGCTTCCAAAGTGAAAAATATACAACAAATAAATGCATACGTTTTGGCTTGCCAAGAAAAGAACAAGTCAAATGAGTATTAGGCTAGCTAAAAAGTATTCCCTTATTCATTTAGGCTATGTTCACACTGTACTTGATAGGTCTTGGCGCTGACATGAAAAACCACATGTTCACACATAACAATGGGTGATTTCGGCTCGATTTTTGTAACGGAACAATGCTGCACTGCGCCAATCTTGAATGTGGATTACAACCTCATTCCCAGGGTAGGAGAGAACCCTGGGAACAAGGTTGTGTGGATCGGCGTATATTGGATACATTTCTGTCCCTCTTCATCGCAATGTGAACAGGTATCCAAACCGTAGCGGAAGTAAATGAGTAGGAGTGGCGACCGGAAGCCTACTGAGACAAAAGTGAAGATGGTATTTAGTGCACCAAAATTCCAGTTCTGTGCAGTTGCTGTTCACATCATACCAGATAACTTTTCAAGTTGGCACAAAATGGTATCCAGTATGTAGTGCCTTAGGGCCTGTTTACATGGATGTAGACCCCAGGTAGATGAGGTAACATTTGGCGGGTTACCCCACCTATCAAGAAAACGTGATCAAATTAAAATGAGAGATTATATGGACAGGCGGGTTACCCCACTAAAGTGGGTTACCTCATCTACATGGGGTCCCCCATCTCCAAGTAAACAATGGTCCTTAGGACAAACCTCAAGTGTACTTGATAAAATAGGTTGTTTCCCTAACAAATTATCAGCTGGATATCGCGGAATTAACCAGTAGATAGTAGAAAGCACTATGCATTTCCTGTCAATTGGGCCTGTGATGTGGGGGACAAACTGAAAAAAACTTTCTTGACAATGTCTATGAATACAGCACCGAGAGACAAGAACGCAAAACGTTTGCGCTAGAATTCCTCTGATTAATTGGGCATTATACTGATGAACAGTTAGGACTGTTAGATATATTCAGCACCAGCAACTAGCCGTCTGTCCCTTCCACTCCTTTTCTTTTTAAGCCACACTTTTACTTTGTCTCCACACGTATAAATTACTCTAATTACCTCTACAAGTCTGCTTTTCATGCGACACCTGGCTACAATGTCATGACGCTTTTGAACCTTATTTTACTCTCCATAGAAAGTTACAGAGAGTTCAAATGTGGATAATGATCGGTATTTTAACCGAAGTTCGCTTAAGTCATATATACGACTTTTGCTTGAAGCGCAACGGTTGTTGACTTGCAATCTCACTGTTCTCAGGGAGGAGCAGTTCATCATTAAATAGTCACAAATGCTTGGTAACCAGTCTTCCCTTACTTCACTGCGGATGTTGACTGTTAGATTGACATCAGTTAATGATGTGTTTTCTGGACAATCACAAGGTGTTGATAGAGATTGCCAGTCATTATGCTGTTCACCTTTACTGATGTCATTTACTGTCAGCATGAGTGTACTTAATGTCTTGTTTTCTGCTAAACATTCTTTCAGAGGGCCTAACCACGATACGCAGCTGAAGTATTCGTAACCACTGACTGTAACAGTAAGGGACGCTATTGAATTGTTCACTGAGAGTCCTTTAATTAATATCTCTTCCCAGTCAAAATAACTACAGGTGATGTGGTTAAGGATAATGACTAGTTCCTTTAAAGATGAGGTACTTGCCAGTCCAAAACGGAGACCTTTTACCAAAGTCACAGGCATTTCTTTTGAATCGTCAGAAGGGTGGTAATAGAACGTGGCACTGTTATTTTTCTCCTTATAGTTGTTGCTTGTAAGGCTGAGTTTTGTTAGTGAAGTGCTTTCTTCCAAACATTTTCTCAGAAATTCACCCCAAAAATAAGTTAACTTACTACCGTTGATTACGACGGAAAGTGTAGACAAGGACTTCACTGCCATCAAACCTTCTCCAAATTTCCTCACCTTGCCACGATCGTCAATTGAGAGACTGAGTGTAGTTAATGACGCCATTTTAGCTAAGCTGTTGATCAGCGTGTATTCCCAGCCTTCTGCCATGTTACTGTAGTTGTTCATTGTAAGACTTAAGACTGTTAATGAAGAACTTCGAAGCAAACTATCCCCGAGGTCTTTCCCTATTCCTGGATTCATTGTGTAGTTGCTCACTGTAAGATCCAGCATGGTTAGTGATGTGGTATCTGCCAAAGCATCACCTAGCAGACGTGGCCAGTCACTAATTACTTCATCGTCGTTAATTATTTTAAGATTGATCCTCTTCTTTCTGGTATTCTTAACTTCAGAGAACACTGATGTCAGTGATGCAGGACTGTTAATAGAGACATCAAGAGCACTGCACATTTCATTAGCAACACCGCTGACGCCATGCACTTTCACTTGAACGATTTTATTATTATGTGATAGTTCCTGAAGTACAGTTTCTGTCCCTGAGGTCAAATCGTCCCAAATGTCGATTGTTAGGGAGTGTAATGTATTTTGTCCTCTGACATATCTTTCAATAATGGTAGCAAAACCATCACTTAATTTTCCATACAATTTCAATCTCAGGCTTGTCAGGGGGACACGCACCAAGACCTCACATAAAGCTTCTGCTCCATCACATTTCAGCTCTCCCCAAATGACCACAGTTAAGTGTTGTTTTGTTTCCAACCCTTTCTCTACCACAGCAGGACAAAAATGAGCCACTTGATCACATGTAACACTGCTGCCTGGGTCTGGATGAAAAGTACAGCTAACTGACCCCTTCTTTACTGAACGAAGATTTTCCA